TGATCCAGGTCAGTAACTTCATAGTCTTGCCGAAAGCTTCCTTATATTCTTGTTTTTGTCAGGCGTCGGTATCCCATTACAGTTGCGATCGCATGTAATCAGATCATGGGAGAAATGTGCAAGCGACCAAGAATTTAAGAAAACCCAAGTATGCTTAGTTTTCTATTTGTCTGGATTTTGCTATGAACATAACATTCAGCTTATTCTTGCGGGTAAATGTATAGCAGATCTCTTCGACTGTGACGAGAATATTCACACGACGTTGCTGAGAAAATACTGCTCGGATATTGTATGCGTCTTCGAGCAGGTAGTGTGGGTCCAAAACTTCTGCATAGTATGTGTATGTGAATGTTGCAGTTTATAGTTGTCGTTGTTGGATGATGCCAGTTTGTCTAAGACCTATGAGAGAATTATGGGCATGGTTGACCCACAGCTTTTGGTCTGCACTTACCTGAGTCTTCTGAAGCCGAGAGGTGGCGTAATGCCTCCGAAAAAGTTCGTAGTAAGTTATTCAAGCAGTTCGATTTGCGTTTTTTCTTTTCAAAAGCTTTTGTGTCTTTCTGTTTGAATATAATTGCTATTGTTTTAGTTGTCCATCGGTTCGCGACTTACAAATACTCTGATGGCGAAAGGTGGTCTTGGAGTTACGCTGTCATCGTATGAAGAGATCAGTCAGTGCGCCACTTCGTTGGGTGAAATTACTGATTTTCGATTTTGAGATGGCGAGCATTTCTGGCAAAACGCTCCATTTTTGACGAGTCTTGCGAAGCAGTTTGCACTTCCTCCAAAGAAAAGCAAGAAGATGTCTTATTATCGGAACATAACTACTCAGTTTATCGAGCTTATCAATGTGAGTTCTCTTCACTGCTTGATTTTGCTTTTTCATTACACATAGCGAAGCTGCCCTCTTGATCAAGCTGCAATTTCTCACGTCCACAGCCATCGAATTATCTATATCTCACTTCACTAGCAGCGCTTGATAGTTTATTATGACAAAACTAGCTTTTCTGTGGCAACAAGTAGCGAACTGACACTGCCTATCATTTTGCTCTACACATGTTGTTGACAGACTGGTAAATTCTCGCGTACGAAAGTTGCTGCTTTATTCTCCATGTTCGTCGAGGAAATGCAGAGTAGGGAGCCTGTTGCTGCTGATATATTCGTTGACGATACTT